CATTTATGATCCGATTTGGATGAAATATGGTACATATCACTTATTTGGCCCAAGGACGAACCCTATTGAAATTGGAGAAAATCTGTTCAGGTTTAGATATAGCTTCCATGTTTAGTTTCGTCCGATTGTAGGTAAATAGTACACAAAACTCTCAATATTGGTCCGATTGATACTAAGTATTGCACAGAGTATTGAAATAGGTCTAGATTGATGTGTGCCAAGTTTGGTTGAAATCGGTTCAGATTTAGATATAGCTCCCATATATAGTTTAGTAAATGGTAAATGGTGCACCAAACTCCCAATGTTAAATGGAGCACCATACTGCCAATATTTTACACAGAGTACTAAATTAGGTCCAGAATGATGTATGCAAAGTTTTGTTAGAATCGGTTCAGATTTCAATATAGCTTCCATATATAGTTTCGTTCGGTTTTACGTTATTGGAGCACCAAACTCCCAATATTGGTCCGATTGAGACAAAATTTTGCACAGAGTACTGAATTAGACCTACAATGATATATGCCAAGCTTTGTTGAAATCGGTTCAGATTTAGATATAGCTCCCATATATAGTTTCGTCCGATTTTATGTAAATGGAGCACCATACTACCAATATTGGTCCGATTAAGACAAAGTTTTACACAGAGTACTGAATTAGGTCCAGATATAGATCACATATATAGTTTCGTCCGATTTTATGTAAATGGAATTCCTGCGCCAAAAACACATCGACACATTCCACACATTCGTCGACTATAAAGCCGCATTCGGCAGCCCTATCCGTTCAGGGGTGTATAAAGCCATGTCTGCGTTTGGCATTCCTGCAAAATTAATTCGGTTATGCAGGATAACTTCAACAGCCAAAAGATCAGCTGTTAAAGTCGGAAAGAACCTCTCGGAGCCCTTTAATACCGAACGAGGATTCAGACAAGTTGATAGTTTGTCGTGTGACCTTTTTTAACATCCTGCTGGAAAAGGTCATACGAGAGGAGTCTTCCAAAGTGGAACTACAGCTTCGAGGTAGTTAAAGATTTTATATACCATGGTACCGCCATAAATAAAACGAATGACATCAGTTTTGAAATCCGGAGAAGGATAGTGATGGCCAACCGGTGCTACTATGGTCTTAATTAAAAAGCAAAGCCACCTCCCGCCAGACCAAACTCACACTCTACAAGATGCTGATACTACCCCTGCTGTTATATGGATCTGAAGCATGGGTACTTACGCAAGCAGATGAGGCAGCTCTTGGAGTGTTTGCGAGAAAAATTCTCCGAAAGATCTATGGGCTGATCTGCGTTGACGGTGAATATCGCCGTCGAATGAACCATGAGTTGTACCATATATTCTCAGACATCAGCATTGTTAGACGTATTGAGCTGCAGCGACTACGTTGGCTAGGTCATGTTGTGAGAATGGATGAAGATGCCCCTGCCCAGAAGGCATATAAAAGCGAACCAGTTTATGGTTCACGCAGAAGGGGAAGGCCAAGAATACGATGGAAAGATTAAAAAAAAACTGCGCAAAAGACCGACGCGCCTGGAAATCTTTTCTAAGCTCGGCTTATGAACCGAAAGTTCTGTCACAAGCCAGCTAAGTAAGTATGTATGTAAAGTTTTGTTGTTAGATTTAGGTATAGCTTACATATATGGTTGCTCAAATACGTCCATTTATATATAGATCTTATACATATTTTGCTCGATAATTGACATTAAATGTTTTCATTAATTTCAGATTGGTATGTGTATGGGTTGTTTTAATTTAGTACAAATATCTATAAGTTCACGCAGGTTATGCTATGTCTATTCTATCTAAAGGATATTGTACATATGAGTATCTTTTGTATGGACCTAAAATTGGTGAAGGGTATCATAAAGTCGGCCCGTCCGACTTTGGATCTTTCCTTACTGGTTTTAAATTAATTTTTAGGTGTGTGTGTTTGGTCATTAATATAATGAAAATATTGACGTATTCTCCTATATTTTTATTATTTTTCTCATATTTCGCGATGATGTGCAACTCTTTGGCTATTATTATAATATATTCATATTCTTAGTTTACGGAGGAAGATATTTATCAACGTTTTTGGTCAATATAATAAACGGCGTAATTTTAAGATTTTTTTCTTTTGGCTAAAATTAAAACCTCGATAACTTTTGTGCGCATCAACCAAAAATTTGATCGCGAACGGTTTCGGAGTCAGAACATTTTTCTCTATATGTGTACCAAAAATCATTGATGTGCCACAAAAACAAAAAAGCTGATTTTTTGAAAATGGAATATTAAAAAATTGGCCCATATAATGTATATATAGTGCACCAAAGTCCCTATATATCCTTCGATTTGCACGAAATTTGGCATAGCGTACTGAATAAACGATGTGTGTGTTAACTTTCGTGAAAATCGGTTTAGATTTAGTTATAGCTCCCATATATATTTTCGTCCGATTTTACATAAATGGTGCATTAAAGTCCCTTATATCACAATGTATCGAATTGAGAATTGAATGACTTTATTGTGTTTTGTTGAAATTGGTGCAGATGCAGCCATAACTCCCATATGTAATTCGGACGGGTGTCTGATTGAAATTAAATATTTGACAGTGCAGCGTACCAACATTTGTCCCATGGTACGCATACGGCACTAAATCTGCCCAATGAATTTACATTTAGCAGAAAGACATGAGTATGTTCCTTTGAGGGAACATTGACATGTAGGGGAGACTGGGGCACCTTCGGCACTTTTTTTTAGAGCTCTATATCTCAGAACTTATTCAACATATATAAAAACTGTATGGCTGATTACTGTCCTCTGACACTTATTTATAAAAAACAGTACCAAAAAGATATAAAAAATTAGTATTAGTTAAAAAATTTTACAGTTTTGTTAAAAAAGTCAAATTCGCCGAATATGCCCCAACCCGGGGTAGCTTCGGCATTTGATGGGGCACATTCGGCACCATAGCCATAGCCGGGTAATTGTCATAGCTATCAGCCTGGTTGAAAATCTGATCCTCTAAAGGCTCTATTTGGTTTAATTATGCCACACAATGTTTGAATTATAGGACTTTATTTTCTAGTGGCGGCCGTTTACATCTCAAGGTCGCACACACCATCAGAAATAGAGGTTTTCTATCGCATTTTCGTCAATACAAGCACGTTTGATCTTATATATGCAATTTCGAACCCTATTAAAGGATTAGTTTTAAAGACAAACTCAAAAACATTTTAAGGAAATAATATTGCACAATCTGTATATGGCCGAATGTGTCCCACTTTACAATGCCGAATGTACCCCGAATATACTTTTTATAGTTTTTTTCATTTTTTTCGATCAGTTTTGTAAAAACATTATATTTTTAAATATTTCTATAATAATACACATCGTAGTTAACCACTTTTTAATAATATTGTCTTAAAAATTTAAAAAGTTTTATACACGAAATACTTACGAAATGGGATTGAAATATTACAGAAACATCTATAAAAATACAAAAACCCATGTATCTAAATAAGCTTATTAGCTAGAAATTTCAAACTTTGTGTCAGTTATTTATTTCGATATTCGATACCTATGTATCGAAACTAGTGATGTACGGTGAGAGCTTCATATCGAAAACGCGATTGCCGTAGGTGCCCCGATGCCGAAGGTGTCCCGATGCCGAAGGTGCCCCAGTCTCCCCTAATTGTAAGGATACATATGTAAAATATAACCAAAGTGGAGAAGGGTATTATGTAGTCGGCCCAGTCCGACTTTACTACTTTCCTTACTGGTTTTTGAAATGTTGATTGTCATCCTCATGGTGGAGGGTATAAGAAGTTTGACTGGGCCGAATTTAAAATAGTTTTTAGATTTTTTTTTTTTTTTTTTTTGATTAAAAATACTCTAAAATTTTTAATAATTAAGATATTTGCATCAAACTCTGAGGTTAAATACTTAGGTGAATAAGCGAAAATCTACTCAATAATTGAGTATAAACTATTTAACTACCGAACATTTTTCACGATTTCACGTTTTTTTTTCTACCTTCTATCCAGCTGGACTTTATATGTATGTAGGTGTAGATCTAAGGGCAAAATACGCCATAATGTGCCGTATGTCACCCCTTATACCTGCAGCGATATTTTCAGCGAATTAAGCGGAACAATGATGAACAGAACAATTGCTTTGATTTCGCACAAATTTACGGACGGCTAAATTAGTAAACTTTCATCAATTTACCCAAATTTTAAATGAAAAATAATTGTGAGATAGGTGATACTCTAATTTAACGTTGTGACTATTTCCCCACCCAATCGTTGCTCTGTAAATGATTCGTTTGTTATTAGATCAAAATGGCAAACTTGTCACATAGATGTTATGCAAACAATCACAAATTCTAACGCCCTATGACTCTAAATGGACATTTTTGTCCATTAAATTCGACATATCATGTATAGAAAAATGAAAATGTCATATCAACTTTGAGAAAGGTACTCATAACCAACAGAGCAATTAGTTTCCACTTTCCTGCACAACAATAACAACCGCAAGAACAACGGCAACAACCATGATTTATGGGATTAATTTGTAAATTGTATTAATAATAATTTAAATACGACAAGAAAAAAGTTGTTCTGTCCAAAGCCAACACCCAATCGATTGTTTCTTGGATTGTTCTCTTCTGTTTGTTGGTGGATCGATGAATGAAAGAATGAGTGACAGACAGCCACACCGACTGACAGCCGGTCAGCAACAGCTCAAACGATCGCAATAACTGGCTAGCTGTGTAATTTTTGTAATGAAACATACGATCGACAGAACTTAAACACGGCCATCTTGGGATTCTATAAATTGATCGTGGATTGCGGTAAGAAGTCACAGTTTTATTGATCTCTAAGTACACAACAGAACGTGCTAGAGACGGCGGACTTGTTAAAACCATACATTTAGCTGATATCGGCTTCATTTTCATTAAAAAAAAGTAGTTCAATTCTCTTTTTATTTTAAACCAATTTCAAAATGAGGACATCAATGGTAAGACAGGATATTTCACGAATAACTAAACTTTTTGTTTTAATGCATGATTCTTCTAAAAGGTTTCTCTTGTAACCTTTGTGGTGGCGCTTTATGCTGTCAGTTCCAGTGCACATGTATTGCCTTATGGCATATGGCCATACCACCATCATTTGCATCATCCCGGTGTTGTGGTGGTGGGCGGTGGTCCAGATGGTATGTATTGAAATAACTGGATTTTCGGGTTGAAGTGGTTTTTGATTTTCTTTCTCTGCTACGTATTTAGCAAGTGCTGCTGCTGCCGATGCCGCAGTTGCCGCTGCCGATGCCGCTCAAGCTGCCAGAGATCAAGCTCAACAAGTTGCCGATGCCGTTGCCAATGCTAATGCCCAAGCTGCTGCCGCCGCCGCTGAAGCTGCCCAGGCTCAAGCCGAAGCCGTGAACAACCAAGCTGCCGCCGCTGCTGATGCTGCTGCTCAATCCCAAGCTGCACAGGCCGCAATTCAAGCTCAAGCTGCCGCTCAGGCTCAGCAAGCTGCTGTTCAAGCCCAACAAGCTGCCCAGGCTCAGGCTGCTGCTGTCCAACAACAGGCCGCTGCTCAGCAACAAGCTGTCGCCCAACAACAAGCCGCTCAAGCTGCCGTACAAGCTCAGGCTGCCGCACAAGCCCAACAGGCTGCCCAAGCCCAGGCTGCAGCTCAAGCTCAAGCTGCCCAAGCTCAGGCTGCTGCTCAAGCTCAAGTTGCTGCCCAACAAGCTGCTGCTCAAACTCAAGCTGCTCAGGCCGCACAACAAGCCGCTGCTCAAAACCAGGCTGCTCAAGCTGCTGTTCAAGCTCAGGCTGCTGCTCAAGCTCAAGCTGCTGCTCAAGCCCAACAAGCTGCTCAAGCTCAGGCTGCCCAGGCTACCGTCCAGGCCCAAGCTGTTGCTCAAGCCCAACAAGCTGCCCAGGCTCAAATTGCTGCCCAACAAGCTGCTGCTCAGGCCGCCGCTCAACAGGCTGCTGCTGTCGCTCAACAAAATGCCCAAGCTCAAGCTAATGCCCAGGCTCATGCTGTAGCCCAAGCCCAAGCTGTTGCTCAAGCCCAGGCTGCCCAAGCTCAAGCTGTTGCCCAACAGGCTGCTGCTGCCGCTGCCCAGGCCGCCGCTGCTGCTGCTGTCGGTTTACACCACCACCATCATTGGTAAATGTGATGTAAGTAGCAGAGTAAATTAGACCACGTCAGTGTTAGTCGCTAATTGCCCAACCTGTCTATTCACAGATTTTCTAAACAATCTTCATTCAACAATCTGCTAATACGAAACGACCTTGGCTTATGATACCATAGTGAAATGGCTTTTAATGAATGCTACTACCACCATTCTTCCGAAATCATTAACACCACATCACTCAATCATCAAGAAAATGATCGAACAAAACAAAATAAGAAAAAAAAAACAACAACGAAGAAATGAAAGAAGTTGCAAGATATTCTATCGAAATTAAGATAACCTTAGTTTAAGTCTAGTCAGTCATGAATAACCCTCTACCATTGAATACTGTCTTGTCTTTGCATGTGAATATAAAAATATTCAAAAAATATAACTCGCATTTTTATTCATTTTTTCAACTATGCCAGAAAAATAAAGTAATATCAAATCAATGCACAATGTAATCGAAGGCAGATTTTCGCTTGGCGTATCATGATAACATTCAACATAATGCTGCTAATGGAGGCGAGTTAAACCGTAAAACAGTTAGTTAACAAAATATGAATATATGTATATATATCATGCATAACGTTAACAAAGGTTAATTGTGAACATGATAAATGCTATATTCCGAATTAACCCAGCTACACTAGTTTTGTGCACAGCATCGAAAGTAATCATACCCCATTTTTCCGTGTTGCTTTTTATTCGCAGCTGATGGTATTAATCGGATATGGAATGTTGAATGCATTGACGAAGAATGATGTTTTCTCCTAACTTCATGTACTTATTTTAGTTTTTTATTGATTCAGAAACGTCCATATCATATAGGATCTAAATATATCCACAAATGTTTTCCATCATATATAATTTGACATCTTAAGTATGCTGGTTCTAGGCGGATATATTGGATTTTTTCAAATTTGTATTGTATTGAAAACTAGTTACACTCACAGTATGTATATTGAAATAAACATTTAAAGATATTATTGACATAATATTTTTCATTTTTCTCAGTATATTAGGCAAAATGTTATTTTGATTACGAAAAAAAAACATTGAAGAAAATAGAGTGTTTTTTAGGCTCGAATCTAATTTAGTGCGTTGGGTAATAAAATACCGACCTTCTTACCTTTAAGGATCTTATTTACATGTGCGTCAATTGAAAAAGGCGAAAATGGACGAAACTATTTTTTTAATTGGTCGAAACAATTTTTACTTTAATAGAAATACACTGTTTTCTGTAGATAAGGCAACATATGGACATGATCGACATTAAGTGTAAATTATCCTATTAAGTTTCATTATCTGTACTGACAATAACAACCAGTTCAGAAATTCCGCTAACCGTCTTCATTTTAATCCACATATATACTTATAACGAAATAAAATTGTGTAAAATTGAGAAAAATTATTGCATCATACTTTTTGAATTTTTGTCAGTTTGTGAAAAACATTTTGTTGGTTTCAAGAAAACAAAAATTACCACAATTACAGAAAACAGCGACAAATTCAATAACTACTATACATCAATCTTCTGTTACCAATCGGGATGGCGTGCATATAAAAATACGAGTACAGAGTTTACCTAATGTTAATATGAAAATTAAATATTAAAATTAGTATACATTGCAGTTCCATGTACGTTGCTTACTAATTGATCATAGCTATAATATATATTATTCAAATTTAAACTTGAAATGTTTAGTAGGGGCAGCGCCACGGGTTCAGCTAGCTTTGTATACTCGTAATTTAAATTCATTTCTATAAAATGTAGTATTCTTGTCAAAATCTTAAAATATTGGTAATAAATAATAAGTTGCGAGGAAGCTGTGATGGTAGTAATGTAAAATAAGTGAAAAAAACGTTAAGTTCGAACATTGGATACCTTCCACCATAGGTATACTGACAGATACTTGCAATGAAAAAGTGGGCCTACAACCCGAATTTTTTAAAGCACTAAATGCTGGCCGATATATTTGATTATCATCAGGATCGAGTCTTTTATCATGACACCCTTAGAAAGCGGAACGATTACAACCGATTGCTAAATAGTCTTAGAATTCCACAATTTTTAGGGTAAAACAGACTATTTCGAGTAACGACTATCCCCAATACTATGTTTGAATACGCCTGTATGGGGACAACACCAACACACGGAATTAATCAGCCACCTATTTCAATATAAACATGTGAAAAAGCGTTATGTTCGTCCGGGCCGAAGTTTGGATACCATCTAACATAGGAATACTGACAGTTACGTTAAATGAATATATGGGGAACATACCAAAAGGTGGACCTATAGCGACAATTCTACCAATCGATTGTTGCAAACCACAATGTAGACCAAATACAAATTTCTGCAATTTTAATGTTATTATGATATCATAACCACAGAGGATTTTGTCAACATATCATTTGTCGTAACTTTATGATTTTATGTCTTTGTTTAAGACTTCAATTTATTCACACTTTATATGGGACAGGGGATCATCTACAGCTTCTCAATTAGAATGTGTAAGAGATATTCATATGAATTTTTTACACAACATGAGGGGTATTATTTGAGCAATCGTGCACCATTAACTCGAAAATCACGTTTTTTGAGTTATGTCTCTCTTTTGCAGCAAATGTCCGATATCTACTTTATAGGGTCGGAATAATCGCCCTAGAATTTTACCCCGATCAAGAATATATATACTTTATATGGTCGGAAATGAATATTTCGACGAGTTACAAACGGGGTTACAAAAGCGCGTTTTTCATCCGAATTCGCTGAAATTTAGTACATTGGGTTCCTATTGGGTACTAAATGTCGCCACTTTTTCTCGAAGCGCTTATATAACGGTACCTCTTAATTTTCAGTATTTTGGGGGTTTTGATCGCATTTTTCCACCTAATTGGCTGTAATTTAGTATTTTGAGTTCTTAATGGGAAAAAAAATCCCTCCACAAAAAATTATGAATATAGGTCATTTTTTAGGATAGCCGCCATATAAGGGTATCCCCATTCTTCGGTATTGTGGGGTTCTTGTGCGCTTTTTCTACACAATGCGTTGCAATTTGGTATTTTGTAGTCGTATATGGTAATAAATCTCCCCACCAAAAATTATTAATATTCGCCCCCTTTTTGGGGTAGTCCCCATATAACCCAATTTTTAAACCCTCCACCAAGGTATGGGTGGTATATTAATTTTGTCATTCCGTATGCAACTTATCGAAATATTCATTTCCGACCCTATATAGTATATATATTCTTGATCAGGGTAAAATTCTAAGACAATCTAGCCATGTCCGTCCGTCTGTTGTAATCACGCTATCTTCTGAAGGAATTTAGATAGGGTGCTGAAATATTATTGTATTATATATGTAGGTTTGGTTACCTTTAGTTCAAATTGAAACACTTTGTTTTATGTTTAATTTGATATTATAGTTTTTATTGTTTAAATAAAGTTGGGTTCTTATTATTAAATAAAGCAATATTTACAAAGTTCACAAAATCAAAATTCAATTAACTTCACTTCTTATGATTCTTAACACTTCTTGTTACTTCACAACTTCTATATTACTTCAAATTACTTCTACACTTCTTGATTTCAAATTAGCGACTGTGTCAGTTCTTCGATCTGTCGGTGTCACTTCAACTTTTGAAAATCGTTGCGTCTATGTTAAGTACAGTTTTGTCAATCGTTATCGTCGATGTTTATTACTTCGTGTGTGATCGGCTGTGTTCAATAGTACGTCCAATTAGTGGAGTTGGTAATGCAATTATTAGTGTAGTTGCGTAACCCGTTCCTACATTCGGCCATCCTGATTCGCATTCGACCGCGAATGTACACTCCAAGGCTTCATATATTCTGAGACAGTGGTTGAACGTCTCGGACCTTCACTATCACCTACTTTCTCAACGATGTATCTACCATGGTTCAGCTTTTGGACAATTTTGTACGGACCCAAAAACTTCGGTTTTAGCTTCATCCCAGTACCGAACTGAGTACGTTTAATAGCTACCAAGTCGTCAATGTTGTAGCAAGTCTCGGGCTTTCTCATCCTATTATATCCTTGTCTATTCTCCTGTTGAATCTTTAATATATTATCTTTTGCCTCCTCTCGGAGAAAACAACGTTCATTTTCGAATTCTTCTACTATACACTCTTCTAACATTTTCCTTATGTCTGTACAGTCTTCTATTCTCATATCTACACCTGTTAACAATTTGAATGGCGATATCTTAGTACTTCGAGGGGGTGTATTGTTTATAGTTTTCTGAACACGATCGACATATTTATACCAATTTCCAGGCGATTCAGCGCATAACTTCGTCAACATTGGTACAACTATCCTATGCATACGTTCGACTTGCCCATTTCCTCGTGGAACACCAGTAGTAATCAATAAATGTTGTATATTCATTTTTTCGCAATACTCGTCAAATTGTTTTGAAGTAAATGCTGTCCCTCTATCGGTAATAATCCTCTGTGGGTTACCAAATACTGCTGATTGTTTCGTTAATTTGTCTATTACCTCGTTTGTACCTGTGCTCTTAGTGGGGTACAGCCAAACAAACTTGGTAAAACCATCTACTACCACCAATCAGGGTTTAAAATGCTAACGCCAAAATAGCAAAAACACAGAAAATTGCCGCACTGCTAACTAAATTCATCCTCAAAATATGCAGCACAGCCAAGCACAACTGCAACAAATAGCAATACATTACGAATAATTTTAGCAAGCAAAACTAAAGCTTCTTGATTTTGTCAGCAGCTACAAAATAGCAATGAACAACTACAACATAATTGTCAACGCGACTAACAACCAAAGCTTTCAATGAAGACTAAGCACCTTGACTGTGACTGCTTAGCAAGATTTTTAGCAAACAAAACCCGAGCATTTTTCGAGTTCAGTGTTGTCCATTGAAATTTTATTAATTATATGAGAGACTTAAAAATCGAGATTATGATAATTTCATTTTTTCGAACAAATACAATTAGTAATACTTGCTAAAGA